GTAACTTAAACAGCTTCACAGCGAGACAGCCGCAATAATGTTACTCAACCAAAATGAATTATTAACATGCACAAATAGTAAGCAAGAATCTCATCTACTGATCAGATGAAAAAAGACTGCCCACAGCATTAAACCCATCAAGTGACAGATGTATGTTTCCTGTAGATTCCACCCAGCTATTCCGTTATTACAGATAGTAACCCTCCACACAAGACATCTTTGTTCAGTGGCGTTATCACCCCATGTAGTTCCGAATACATACAACACTGCTTGTCAAACAGGGCGTTAGGCGATATGGCTCACTTATGTCTGTGATCGAGCACCGCAACTATCTAACGAGTCATCGTTAGAAATGAATTGATATGAAAGTCGCTTCCACGTCAGGCATCTGTGAAATGTATCTCCTAACATACAGCTGGTCTTATCAGAACTAATTTCAGTGCTGTTTACTGCTATCCTTCCGTATAGTGGCTTCTGTTATCAAACTACTTATAAACATTACGACACTGAAACCTTGTCTAGAGACTGGCTTTACTAACATCCGATTATTGTCGTCCACGTGACTTTAGTCTCTTAGCAAGTCGATGTGGTTAAATGAGCTAGAAAGGCTCTATCGGCATAAGGTGAGGTGAGGTGAAATTGGGTTTTACGTCGTGCTTGAGAATATTTAGCTCACATGACGACGTGCATGCGTGTGTATGTGTATGTGCGGCTGCTTGTACCAGCCCAGACTGAAGCTGGTTTTATAGTGCTAGCCCACTGAGATACCATGCCGCAGTGAAGCATGAATACCCCACTCAGACACATTATACTGACTCCGAGCCGACCAGTCCTTGTTGTACCCATTAATGCCGAGCGACACATACCATATTTGAACGTCTTTTGGTATGACGCGGTCGGGGATCGAACCCGCGACCTTCCGCTCTCTGGGCGGACGCTCTAACCACTACACCGTATCGGCATAAGCGGAAACGTTTCGATAGAATGAAATATGTATGTTTTGAAACAAGTTATTCGAGTTATTCGAGACAGGCCCGCCATATAACTGGAATATTGCTGAGTGCGGCGTTATACAACCAAACCAAACTGAGACAAGCAGTATGCCGATATGAGACTATAAATGTCGATTCGTATTAAACGGGAACCAGAGTTACATCGTTTTGAACTATGCTTGTAAATGTATAGAAACATGGGGTCTGAGATATTTAGGCTTTACTGTAGCTGTAACAAAAAATATTGAGAGTAGAAGAGCGTAATGTTTAATACTGGTTTAATAATCATGAATCCTCGTCTTTTAATACATTATTTAAAGGTATGTCAGATACTTTTTTAATGCAATGCTTGACAAAGTATTGTAGAATTGCTTTAAAATTAGTTTTCCTCATAAATGTTTATTTCAGTGATTATGAAGTGGATCCTTCAAGTGGAATCCACATATGTTGTCGATAACATGTATCATTACTTAAGTATTGCAGTTCTGTGATGTCCCCACTGTTTATAATTTCCTCTTGCTTTTGGGCACTTTGCCACGAGGTTATTGCAGCCTCTCATGATCAACTGATATTTCAGCCTGGCAGGACAGAACCCTTGGAACATGAATCAATATTCACGTGTATATGTAAAGCGAACATGCTGCGTGAAAGTGTTATTTGACAACTCGAACCCATACCAGTTCACATCTACGATTAAACAGCTGTATACGCTACGAAGCCAAACTGGATCATTGTTTTTGTTGACAGAAACAGCTATTCCATTTCTGACATTTTCACCTTTTCTTCTCTGATTATTCAGTGCGTCTGTGATTCCCCCCAAAATATCCATCGGATTTTATTTACTTTCCCGTTCAACATTTGCATAAAGCTGTGACCGCACATGCATGTTTGGAGTGGTGCACATGCACGCGAGCAGTGCGTGCAAGATTCTTAGACTATCAGATTTCTCGCGAGGAATGACTCACGTGCAGCACGCGAAACGGTCCTGCACTATTACCTGGCTTGAACTTATGCAATTATCACTGCCAGTGACCCCACGGTGCCAAACATTGCCGTCAGTGTGCCTGTCACTGTCTATCTTCCCTCACCCATCTACATCTCTAGGCGGGACGTCCGTCACCCTCATGAATTCCACCAATCCATCATGCAACCCCTCAATGTTAAGACAGCGTTTTCTATTTTCATTAGATTGTGGAGCCTGTGTAAATAAATGCACATGAACCTGTATCTCCCCAGCCGTCAAATGTGTCTATATGTGTCTGAAATACAACCCAATCTAATTTAAGAACAGCTAGGTTGTGTGCTTGTGGGTCGCAACATGTCGAGATAGGTAACGTTGTTTATGCTATGGTATTGAACCCGACCCTTGTTAACGGAGGTAAAGAAGATTACCGATTTATTGTTAAAATAGACATGTTGATATAAAAAAAAACGTGCAGCACTTGAATGGCTGATTTTCAGAAATCAATATTTGCAAATTAGTGGCCATGACGATAAACAACATTCACTCACTGTTTACAAGGACGTCTTTAGTGTGTGAAAAAAGGGTGAGTGAGTGAGTGAGTTTGATTTTACGCTGCTTTTAGCAATATTCCAGCAATATCACGACGGGGGACACCAGAAATGGGCTTCACACATTTTACCCATATGGGGAATCGAACCGGGGCCTTCGGCGTGACGAGCGAACGCTTTACCCACTAGGCTACCCCACCGCCCCGTTTGAAAAAAGGATGTCTTTGATTGTTATCCGATATGACTGTGAATTATATTATGATGAAAGGATACCAAAATAGAATGATAAAATGATCAAAACAAAATTTAAAAACAAAACAAACAAAAAAACAAACAGAAAAAATAAATCATAACCGTTTTTGCTCGATGATTTATTGCAGCATCTATGCGGTATTTGAAATTTTCATCAATGTATTACGTCCAATGGTCATGTTATTCCACATGACCCAGCGTCCATGTGATATTCGGCAACTGACCTTGCTGCTAGACCAATCCTTGACTTTACCGATCCCTTGAAAATCCGGGTTAGAATTGGCCTTAAGCAGCCCATGCTTGTCTCCCTTGAGGGTCCGGTTTAGAATTGGCCTTAAGCAACCCATGATTGTCTCCCTTGAAGGTCCGGGTTAGAATTGGCTTTAAGCAACCCATGATTGTCTCCCTTGAAGGTCCGTGTTAGAATTGGCCTTAAGCAACCCATGCTTGTCTCCCTTGAAGGTCCGGGTTAGAATTGGCCTGAAGCAACCCATGCTTGTCTCCCTTGAAGGTCCGGGTTAGAATTGGCCTTAAGCAACCCATGCTTGTCTCCCTTGAAAATCCGTGTTAGAATTGGTCTTAAGCAACCCATGCTTGTCTCCCTTGAAGGTCCGGGTTAGAATTGGTCTTCAGCAATCCATGCTTGTCTCCCTTGAAGGTCCGGGTTAGAATTGGCCTGAAGCAACCCATGCTTGTCTCCCTTGAAGGTCCGGGTTAGAATTGGCCTTAAGCAAACCATGCTTGTCTCCCTTGAAGATCCGTGTTAGAATTGGTCTTAAGCAACCCATGCTTGTCTCCCTTGAAGATCCGGGTTAAAATTGGTCTTAAGCAATCCATGCTTGTCTCCCTTGAAGGTCCGGGTTAAAATTGGTCTTAAGCAACCCATGCTTGTCTCCCTTGAAGATCCGGGTTAAAATTGGTCTTAAGCAACCCATGCTTGTCTCCCTTGAAGATCCGGGTTAAAATTGGTCTTAAGCAACTCATGCTTGTCTCCCTTGAAGATCCGGGTTAAAATTGATCTCAAGCAACCCATGCTTATCGTAAGAGGATCTAAGGAGATCGGGAGGTCAGGCTCGCTGACTCGGTTGACACATGTCATCATATCCCAATTGCTAAGATCGATGCTCATGATGTCAATCACTAGATTGTTTGGTCCGGGTTCGACTATTTACAGAGTGCCATCATATAGCTGGGGAAATGTGGCGTTAAAAAACTAAACAAACCAAAACAACCAAACTGTGCTGTCCTAGGATGGCGTTAACGGCATATTGCATTTAATACGTCTGGGAAATTTGATAATCTATTTTGCTGTAATCAATAACAGTGCGGATGACTGAAATGTTTTTGTTCTCTTTTAAATCATTATCATACTGAATAACCGCAATGGGATATCAAAAGTTTGTATACACATACCAGCATGTCAAAACGGTGAAAACGATATGGGTATTTGTTGCGCGAACCTGTCTATAAAATTATCAATAATACTTTAAGAGTGCGCAAGAACGTAGGATAAATGTACGGTCACTGTGAGCACTTGAATGCACTATTAACGGATTGATATCCAAATAAGTGCGTATGCATTAACTACCCAATTAAACTTTTTATATAGAACGTCAACAGCTGATATAAATCAGTCCCGATTACCCGTCAAGACAGATTCCACTTGGCGTAAAATTCAAACAATCTGTGAAAATTGCATCAATGGATTTCTCAGGCTCATTAATGACACAAACCACTCTGAAATGATACTCTTACCCTTCAACACACATAAGAAACCCAGGTCTTCCATTCTTTATATTTAAATTTGATTCCGACACAAAGCGACTCGGTCTACAATTAAAAGACTAAATTACCAAGTAATCTAAATTTAATAAAATTACACATTTAGTGAGAAACATTTGATATTTTTAGCTTTTTAAAAATATTTTGTTTGCCCGCCCGCTATCTTGCTTGTTAAGGTTGGAGATGAGAAATACTAAAATACGAATGGCCTTATACGATAGCGCACCAACTTGTTGAAACTAAAAAAGTTATATCATGCAACACCCCTATTTCAGATCCAGCGAATGTAATATATTCGTTTGCCATTCCAATGATACAATGTGTACAATGTATGAAGCCCATTTCTGGTGTCCTCCGCCGTGATGTCAATGGAATATTGCTAAACGCGGCGTAAAAACATACTCACTCACACCCACTTATACAAACAGTTCTCCCTCACGAATGTTTTCCCTTTTCTTTCAGAGGGAGTGCATTTCTATCCACGTTGGCCAGGCCGGAGTCCAGATCGGCAATGCATGCTGGGAGCTGTATTGTCTGGAGCACTCCATCCATCCTAACGGACAGATGGAGCACCAGAAGATGGTCATGGCCAATGGGGACGAGTCTTTCAACACCTTCTTTAGTGAGACAAGCGCCGGGAAGCACGTGCCACGTGCAGTTTACGTCGACCTTGAACCTAGTGTCGTCGGTAGGTTAACTGTAGTATAAAACTATTGACCAGTGACCGTACGCAACAGTTGTGTCAATTCCGGGTGATAAGTAATATTTACTGTTGGTAGTTAGACAAGGGATTCAGACTTTGCACTTGTTACTATGTCTATGCACAGTCAGTGGATCACAAAAGGTCGTAATATTTTCTAAGAAGAAAACAAAACGAATTACGCATGTTATAATTACGCATGAGACAAGGTCTACGGCGGTGGTAATACTTTCTACAGAGCAGTAACACGTCCTCCGTCCTACATATTATCAAAGTGGGTATTAGGGGCGGTGGGGTATCCTAGTGGCTAAAGCGCTCGCTCGTCACGTCGATAGGTCCGGGTTCGATTCTCCAGATGGGTACAATGTATGAGGCCCATTTCTGGTGCCCAGCAGTGAGATTGCTAGAATATTGCTTAAATCGGCGTAAAACCTGACTCACTCAACGTTGTTATTTAAGACTGCTACGGCGGTACCAATAAACTTCTGCGTATGTCGCAAAAGTACTTAGCTGGAGAAAGAATCCTCCATGGGCGATGTCGTTTATTGTACTTCTTAAGTGAGCTAAAACGGGATGTTACACCGTATACAGAATGCCTTTGGTGTAAATTGCGACGCCTTAATCCACTGGGCTATCCGTCATTCAGAAAACAGCTGGGGTTAAGATAATGAGATGCGATTGTATTCGCTTCCCCAAGCCAACATTTTTTAGATGAAATTGTACGTTTCCACCGCAAAACATTTACTAATGACTGTGACGTTTTTGACGCCAGATGAGGTACGAATGGGCGCGTATCGCCAACTGTTCCACCCTGAACAGCTGATCAGCGGCAAGGAGGACGCTGCCAACAATTACGCCCGTGGCCACTACACCGTGGGCAAAGAGATTGTCGACCTAGTTCTGGATAGAATTAGGAAAATGGTGAGTAAAAGCCCCAAACTGGGTTCTGTCTCTTCATGTGAAAAGGGGTACGTAGGGTACGTACGAAGAGAGATCCGGAAGTTGAACCCACTAGTTTGTGACGAAAGGGAAAGGACACAATTATTAACTTCAAACCATCATACTCCTCGGTATATTATAATAAAGAAGAGACTGGAATTGTTGTGTATTTTCTTTTGAAATAGGATAATGTGCTTAAAAACAGACTGCCTGTCAACTGCATACTGTGTCTTGTTTTGATAAGACAGTTATTTTGAGAAAGATATTCCTGTTTAAGTAGAGAAAACGTCTCTGCACAAATGCAGCCATGTTACGTTTTGTAATACAGTACCAGTGTGAACGAATCTCTGACTTCACCTTCTTCAGGCGGACCAATGTACAGGATTACAGGGATTCCTCGTCTTCCACAGCTTTGGAGGCGGAACCGGAAGTGGATTCTCTTCCTTGCTCATGGAGAGACTGTCAGTGGATTATGGGAAGAAATCTAAGCTGGAGTTTGCCGTGTATCCAGCTCCTCAGGTAGACACGTGACCTCTGTAGTCTCGCTATGATATTAATATCAATGAAAAGTGCATTTCACACTGAAGCCAGCAATATTCCGGAAATATCAAGGCGGCCTGTAAATAACGGAGTCTCCCGTTATTAGACGATCACACAACACAGGCCACCTTTCTTTTCTTGCATGAATGAGGAGTAATATCAAGATCAGGCCATGTGCCAGTGTTCTACAAAATGAAATACATATATCTTTATTTACACTCAGATACATTCACTTGAATTTGAGAGTGTGTGAGTGAGTATGGATTTACGCTGCTTTCGGCAATATTCCAGCAAGATCACGGCGGGGGGCACCAGAAATAGGCTTCTTATTTCAGACTTATTTTAGACTTACCTTTAAATCTGTTCTGATTTTTAACAAAGACAAAGTTGGTAGGACTGCTTAAAATAATCAACTGTGTTTCTCGAACTTAAATTGTCAAACTAAGATGAGAAACATTGCCTCAATGTATTATTGGGAATAATTTTGAGTGAGTGAATGAGTGAGTTTTTACGCCGCTTTTGACAATATCACGGCGGGGGACACCAGAAATGGGCTTCACACATTGTACCCATGTGAGGAATCGAACTCGGGCCTTCAGCGCGGCGAACGAACGCTTTAACCACTAGGCTGCCCCACCGCCCTTATTGGGAATAAAAATCAACGTAACAGCAGTGACGCTGAATACAAGCATACGGTGCTTGAGACACAAAAACAAATAGAAAGGCAAACTGAGCAGGTTTTTAAAAGACGTGCTCATGCACGAGAAGCATGTCTATTTTGGGGTCTATGTGTTATTCGAGAATAGCATTTTCTTCCGGAGTTGAGAAAACTGCATGCATACTATGATTATACGTGCGCTTCACGTAACCCTCACCTTTTCCAGATCTCAACTGCCGTGGTGGAACCCTACAACTCCATCCTGACCACCCACACCACCCTGGAACACTCCGACTGCGCCTTCATGGTCGACAACGAGGCCATCTACGACATCTGCAGGCGTAACCTTGACATTGAGCGTCCGAGCTACACCAATCTGAACCGTCTGATTGGTCAGATCGTCAGCTCCATCACCGCCTCGCTCCGGTTCGACGGCGCCCTGAATGTGGATCTGACTGAGTTCCAGACCAACTTGGTGCCCTACCCGAGGATTCACTTCCCTCTTGTAACATACGCCCCTATTGTGTCGGGTGAGTCGTGTGTTGCCTAACGCTAAGAGTGTACTCAGTACGCTATGTTTATAACGAACATGGTTATGACGAACTGACGGATATAACGAACTGGTATAGATATTTGACTGTTATCTAACTATCCTGCATCTCTTGGATCAGGCGTCATACCAAAAGACGTTAAAATATGGTACTTGCTGGTCCCTGCCTGGCGCTCGGCATTAATGGGTACAACAAGGACTGGTCGGCTCGGAGTCAGTATAATGTGTCTGAGTGGGGTATTCATGCTTCACTGCGGCATGGTACCTCAGTGGGCTAGCACTATAAAACCAGCTTAAGTCTGGGCTAGTACAAGCAGCCGCACATACACATACACACGCATGCACGTCGTCATATGAGCGAAATATTTCACCTCACCTCTTGGATAGTGCATTTGCTTGACGCTTTGGTTATTTTTTCTCAATTTAAAACATATTAAGCCACCCCTAACATTCGCCTTTTGTTGGTGGATTCGTAATTTAGTGGTTAAATCGCTCCTAAACCATTCCGAATTCCAGGGTTCGATTCCCGAAATGGGTAAAATTTTAAAAATCCATTTTTTAGCTCAAGGCCTTCATACGTCAGAAATGATTTGCTAGAGCAACTATAAACCATAATCAGTCTGTGTAAAAAGCCAATGTTTTTCTTTCAGCCGAAAAGGCCTTCCACGAGCAGATGTCGGTTTCCGAGATCACTAACGCATGCTTCGAGCCTTGCAACCAGATGGTCAAGTGTGACCCCCGCCACGGCAAGTACATGGCCTGCTGCATGTTGTACCGAGGTGATGTCGTCCCCAAAGACGTCAACGCAGCCATCGCTACCATCAAAACCAAGAGGACTATCCAGTTTGTCGACTGGTGCCCCACTGGTTTCAAGGTCGGCATCAACTACCAGCCTCCTACGGTAGTCCCAGGTCGGTTTGAAGTGAAACGCGAGCAGGTTATATACCAACAGTGAAACCTTTTATTTCATGGGAAGATCTGGGTTAGAATTGATCTTCAGCAACTTAGCTTGTTGTAAGAGACGACTAACGTGATGGTAAGGCTTACTGTATCCCAATCGATGCTCATGATGTTGATCACTGGATAGTCTGGTCCAGACTCGATTATTTACAGACCGCCGCCATATAGCTGAAATATTGCTGAGTGCGGCATAAACTACAAACAAACGTTTTATGTTCGGAACGTGTGAATATATTCAAAGGGACACTACTCCGTGCCGAATATTCCGGAGGTGTTGGAGCCGAAACAATCCAGTTGTAATTTGCCATCCACAATAACGAGGTTTTACTGAATACACTTAATTTACAGTCCAAAACCCTTATGTCAGTTACAGATTGATACAGACTATATTTACATTATGATTAACGCATATAAACAACTTTCAGCAGGTTTGGTTTATACCACAATGAAGCCTAGATCGTTAACCCGAAATAAGGTTAATGTTCTCACAGTAAGATGGCAACGCTTTATCGAATTAAAGCAGTCAGGCGTATTAACCAACCTAGAAATATGATTTCGTAAAAATATTACATCGATAGTTTGCTATTATTGTTAAATGCTCCTCTTCGTTTGGGCATGTAAAAGTTTATACAAGTGTAAGGTTACTGAAGCACCCGTAAAATGCCATGTGAACTCCCGTGATAAAACATTTCTTTATATAAATGAAATTCAACCAGACGGCATCTTGATAGATTGTTGAACGTAATTTATATAACTGGCAGTAGATGTATATGGAAATATCCCCGCGGTAAGGTATACTATATTGTCGGGGGTTGAGAATTTGGTTAATTTTAAAGCCTCTACTAGTTACTCGTTGGGTTTCTTTGAGGAGGTGACCTTGCTCAAGTTCAGAGAGCCGTTTGCATGCTGAGCAACACCACCGCCATTGCCGAGGCCTGGGCCAGACTGGATCACAAGTTTGATCTCATGTACGCCAAGAGAGCTTTCGTCCACTGGTACGTCGGAGAAGGTGAGTCGCAACGTCTGTTTTTCGGATAATCACCAGTCATATACGATTTTCAATTTTGCGAAACGACCTCTTACGTACAACCGTTGTAGTGTTTGAACTGAACAGAGCCCCATCGTAGCGCTACGACAGTCGTAAGTCAATGTTAAAGTATGGGAGTTACGATCATCTTAGCTCTACGATCGCTATGTGGAACGGGACACAGATCGCTTGATAACCGACATATATACTTATCTATGCTTTAAGTAGGATGTTCCAATATTTTGAGACTTGGTTTCATTTTCACACTAGGAACATTCAGTTAGTTAGGCCGACTGAAAGTAAATGGCCATTAGTATTTCTTGTAAAATTTATGAAGATGTAATTCACAAATTGTGACAAAATATGTCAACGAAACAGCGGTTGGGTTGTTTTGTCCAGTTAAAGGCATTTTTATGTATATGAACGTTCAGCGATGGCAAAATGTTAACATTATACGTCAGTTTTTCAATACTTGTCACATGCTGCCTAAATATGTAAAAAGGATACATTAAGATTCGTGTTTTCAGGAATGGAGGAGGGTGAGTTCTCGGAGGCTCGGGAGGATCTCGCGGCACTCGAGAAAGATTATGAAGAAGTTGGTCTCGAGTCTGTCGAGGAGAACCCGGATGAAGAGGAGGGTGAGGAATATTAGACACCTCTGCCCACGGCCGGAAGTGACAGTTCCGGAAGCGGAAGTAAATGCCCAATGCTCAAACCTCAGAAGCCTTCAACACGACCTTGTGCAATGCGCTGCCTATGCAATTCGTCATCATTTTACATAAATATGATTTTTACAACATGTAGATATATTCGTGCAAAACCAATTTACACTTTTTCAAAATGATTTTACACTTTCTAATATTGTAACTGGGGCCAAATGAACCAGTTGATATTTATTTTAATTTATATGCATTTATTCTATTTTATCATTATGCGCGTCATGCGTCCATATACATTGTATTGTCCTATCTTCGTTTTATGCTGTTCCAGTTTATGTTCAATACACATCTAAAAATTAACAAAATTTAACCAAGATAATTTCTTTAGCATGGCATATCAAGTACACGCTGTTTGTTGGAAACAATTGTGTTCATTCAAACTAAACAGAATGAAGAATGATTGGCTATACACTGTGCTTGTATTTATTGTGGCGTGGCCTATAACCTCAAATATGTTTTACACGACCTTGACCCTCCGATCCAGTTCGTCTGGTACTTCTCTCTGAACCCATCATTTCAACACGGTTTGGAAATTTATGTCAATATTCTTGTGACAAAAGAAACACGTTTTATGAAATTTTATTTTTGAAATTACTCAATATCTGTGATGCACGTGGCCTTTGCTACAGTAAATTCATGAGTATGTTTAACGGTCATCCTCTGTAGACGCGTGGATACGAGTTATAAAAAAATAAACACTTTGCAATATGTTTTCCTTGTTTCTTTGAATCTGTATCCTTTGGTGATCTAGGGTCAGATTGGTTGGTTGGTTGTTAAGTTGTTTAACGCCGAACTCAGCAATATTCCAGCTACATGGCGGCGGTCTGTAAATAATTGAGTCTGGACCAAAAGCATAGATCTACGCAATTGGGAAACGATGACATGTGTCAACCAAGTCAGCGAGCCTGACCACCCGATCCTGTTAGTCACCTTTTACGACAAGCATGGGTTGCTGAAGACCAATTTTAACCTGGTTCTTCACTGGTCAGGGTCAGAAGAGGTCCTCAGTACCGCATGGTTGTCGTGGATCGGATGATCAGGCTCTGTCAGAATTGGTCATCAGCAACCCACGCTTGTCGATCCGGTGGCCAGACTCTTGGTTTCAATCAACGGATTGACTGGTCTGGGCTCGTGCGGCGTCAATCAACAAACATGATTGACCCTAGAAGATCCGGGTTGGAATTGGTCTGTCTTCAGCAATCCATGCTTGTCGTAAGATGCGACTAACAAGATTCGAGTGGCCAGATTCTTAAGGTCAATCACCGGATTGTCTGGTCCAGACGTGATTATTTACTGTCCAATGTCCTGCACGTGCCTCGTCGACCATATCGTTGTTCATTCTTTCAGTCACTGATGTAGAAGCCAATGATCGCAGGTTCGAATCCCCATTATCCACCACTTATTACGCCATGATGTTATGGTTTGTCGAAACAAAGTGGTTAACAACAGACCGGATTTACTTCGGGATTTCCTCCCACATCAACCCGACACGTCGTGATTGAACTGAATTACCGCTCAAAGCGGCGTTATATACCACTCACTAACTCAGTCAGGGCGGTGGGGTAGCCTAGTGGTTAGAGCGTGCGCTCGACACGCCGACGACCCGGGTTCGATTCCCCACATGGGACAATGTGTGAAGCCCATTTCTGGTTTCCCCCACCGCGATATTGCAGGAATACTGCTAAAAGCGGCGTAAAACTAAACTCTCACTGGTTTGCTTGGTCCAGACTCGATGATATGTAGGTTGCCTTGACAGTTTGAGTATTGTCAACCCCGGTGTAAAGCAGCACTCTTTCTCATGAAACCCAACAGCTAGAACGCGTGTCATTCCACATCCATGTTCAACACAATTCATGGAGGATATATTTTCAACATATAATTATTTCATCCAATACCTAGATATATTACAACAACAAAAATGGTCACCAATTATATTCTTTTTGCCTGAGAAGCCATTTTAAGATTCCGTGCAGACAAAAACATGAGAAATATACATATTTTGAAGCACTAAATTATTGGCTGCCGAATAAATTATCACTAGTCAGCCGGTCAACCTACCAGACACCATAGAGTGTTTTCCAAGCATTGTAAAATTCAGTTCTGTGTAATGCCTTTTCAAAACATATGCACAGCGGAGGCTCTGTTCAAGGGAGGTAATATTAATTACGACAGTTATCTCCCTTTCCCCTTTTGCGATTATGACAGTTCATCATTGCGAATTCTGAGCATACAGACTTAAGCCATTTAGACAATGACATTTCAATATGAAAAAAAACAAACATTGAAGACGTAATTGTAAAAAGCATTTCTATTTTAATCTTATAAAACATAAGTGAAACATAAACACGATTGTCCGAAGGAAAGCACAGTACTTTCACTGTTTATTATACTGCCAGTGAACAAACAAAAGCGTGAAATTGAGTTTAAAAAGTGATATATCATCTTATTTACACATAACAAAATAACAAAACAGTACGTCTCAAATTAGGATAATGTATTATTTACAGACTGTGAGTGATTCTCTAATATATCGTGATCCAACCTTTACATCAAATTTCAACAGATAGGATCTCTGGATATCACAATGTTCCCTGGTTTAATCACTGTTTTGATTTTTATGCCCAGTGGAATCTGTTTCGATATATAATCGATACAGATTATTCTCTTGCGTGGAATATTACGGTTTGAATATACCAAATTAACCGTCCTGGGATTTTAATGAAAAGTATAAATTGTCCCAAAATAACAAAGCACCAGGCCCAATAAAAATATGTCTGCCATAAATATACATTGTAGCTAGAGGTAAACCTAACATATTTAGGACAATTGTTTTAATAAAAAGGTAAATGTTTAACAGATGAAGCTGGAATTATATCTGTTCTTCATACAACTCCTCCACCTCTTTGTAGAATATCAAATAGTCGGGCCATATTTACAGAGCGATATATATGCTAAAAATAATAATAATAATAATAATAAAACAGAAGATGATGATGAGAAAATAAAGTAACAATGGTTCAATTGCTGGTTTGGGGATGAGGAATAGGATAGGTATAAACATAGAACGAGCCAAAGTTGGAATGAGTTGATGAGTGAAACATGCTTCACATTGTAACCATGTGGGGAATCGAACCTGGGTCTTCGACGTGACGAACAAACCACTAGGCTACCCCACCGCTCCGCGATGAGTGAAGAGTAAGAATGGTGTGATAACTGTGGAGCGGGCAATGGTCAGCCTTAGTCTAACGATTGGGTCCAAGGAGGTGAAACATTAGGATTGGGTTCCGGGTGGGAAAGATTCGGACTGGGTTCAGGGACGTGAACGATTAGGATTAGGTTCAGGAAGGGGAAAGATTAGGATTGGGTTCAGGGAGGAGAAAGATAATTAGGATTGGGTTCAGGGAGGGTCAGGATGACGGTTGAAATTTAAATGTTAGGTAAAGACTGTGTTCTTAGAAGGGAGAGGTGGGGAGGTTGAGGTTGAGGTTGTGGATGTGGTTGTGGATGAGGGGAGATTCTTGGATTCAGGTCAGCTCAACCACTATCAGGTCATGTACAACAATTGGTAAGTTTTGGAGGGGAAAAAAACTGGAGAATGTAACACCACTTGTGTAACCTCAGAGAGTCAAAACGGTTCTTGGAAAAATCTGCTGGCCTGTTCTGCTGACTGAGAAACGTTGTCTGTGACTCGGAAACGTCGTTTCTGAAGTGAACTTATGACTAGCAGTGTTCTTTGATGTGACTTTGATTACCTTCGACAGGGCTGGCCAATGAGGTAGTGTTTCTTACTTGGACACAATGTTATCGTCGCGAATGTGGTCGTAGATCGAATTAGTTTTCGAGATGGGGTGAGTGCCGTCAATTGGTTTCATGTCAACCTTAGTCGAAAACACTGTCAAAGAAATAGGATAACATCGCTGTGTAAACATTTCAAAATATAAATCCTTCATCTGGCATGACAAGTATTACTACTCCTACTACGGTTGAAACTGGCAAAATATTCCACCGTACATCCATTCTCCAACCCAGTGCTGTTCCTTGCCCCATGGATATGTCCCCGGCTGTGTTTGCTTCAGCCCAACAATGCTCTGTAGCTCACACCCGCAGGCACATGTATACACCCGCCCTCGAAATTCCACCCAATGGGCACAAGCCAATCCACACTCAGACTAAATGTAACCCCAAAGCAAGGTGCCTCGTCTAACAAACACCCAACTCCTCCCCCCTTCCACGCCGAAATGCCTCCCCCCGTTTTTTCTCCCCACCCCAAATATGGACTGCCTTCCCATTGTTATATATACCCATCCCAACTGCACGTCTGTCCTCACAGAAAAATACAAAACAAAATGACACACACTCTCCCCAATCATGTCTTCCTCTACCCGTTACAATTGATCTGGGTTCGAATCCCCACATGGGTACAATGTGTGAAGCCCATTTCTGATGTCCCCCGCCGTGATGTTGCTGGAATATTGCTAAAAGCGGCGTAAAACCAAACTCAGTCAGTACAATTGATCTTCAGTAACCCATGCTTGTCGTAAGAGGCGACTAACGTGATCGGGTGGTCAGGCTCGCTGACTTAGTTGACACATGTCATCGTATCCCAGTTGCGTAGATCGATTGCTTTTGATCACTGGATTGTCTGGTCCAGACTCTATTATTTACAGACCGCCGCCATATAGCTGGAATAGTGCTGAGTGCGGCGTAACTGTTATTAAACTCACTCACTCTCACAGTCATTGTCTTCCTCAGGGTGGATATCTCATTCACCATAATTCCCGCTCCCACGCCACCCCGACTCCAACCCGACACCAATCCAATTCCTCACCCTCAGCAGTGCCTCCAACCGGCAGAATGTATCCCTCCTCCTGCAGCCGTTTCCTCAATGAGTGTGGGGAGGGGAGCTCCTGGTATAGATTGGCATCCATCACCGCATTGGCGATCCTAGGTCAAAACCACATCAGTTCAGTTCCCTATCAACCTTACAATCATGATATTCCATACTGTAAAGGGGCGGTGGGGTAGCCAGGTGGTTACAGCTTTCGCAAATCCGGGTTCGATTCCGCACATGGCTTCAATGTGTGGTCTCCCCTGCCGCGATATCGCTGGACTTTACCCAAAACGTTGCAAAAACATATAAAAACATATTTACTCGCTCCAAATTGTAAACATAAAAGTGAACGCAAAACGCCCCCCCCAAAAAAAAAAATAAAAAAAATAAAATAAAATAAAATAAAAAAATAAAATAAAATAAAATAAAAATAAAATAAAAAGTAAATAAATAAAAAGATAAAAAATAAAAATAAAAAATAAAAATAAAAATAAATAAAACCTGCCTTCATTATCTAACGAAACATAATCCGTTGCGCGCAAAAGGCAACATTGTGCTGACAATTATTTCAGTGGATATCACGACACCAGGTGTTCACGAAAAGGGTAAGCATGTCGTATCGGTTGCACACGCCACTACATATGTATTCCAAATCGTTGATAGCAGCATCAAGAAAAACCAGTGTGAACTCTCATCGAATTCATGACGATGTTTCCTCAGACAAAACTTCATAATATTACTATTATTACAGTACGTTCACAACGGATTCATAGGGACCTCTAATTGCAGTCCGTTGTAAGCGTTTTTCGTTTTACGGATTTCGACTGAAGTATACAGGAAGTTTTCGAAAAAACCAGTTCGCAATATCCGAAGTTTGTTATAAGCGGTGTTCGTTGTAAACGTTGTTTACTTTACACGCTAAGGAAAATCATTTTGTGGTAGCCGGACTGCGCATGTCATTTACGCTGTCAGCATATGCTAATTGGGCTTTTAGGGGGCTAAAAGGGGGTGGGGGGTGCACACCCCCTTGGTGTTATTAAACTAGAACGTTCCGCGCCGCTGGGTTAGATAAACAAGATGAAGCAGGAATCTAATTCTTTTTCCTTCCTTCCATATTTCCTGTCAAACAGCATCAAAGCATAAATGAGAGTCGTGGTTCGTCAGGATGTTGAAATTGTCAGGTCTGATTGATGAAAACTGTGTTACTCACATTTGTGGTGAGGCGTACGGCGAATCCAGCGCTGCCGAGAGAAATAGTAACAATACTTATCACAATAATGTGTAGGGATTTTTTTATAAATCGCATTTCGATTGTCACCTTCAAAATGTCCATTGAACGTGAAACGTGAAACAGTGATGAGGCGTTTTATGAGTGAGTGGGTTTAGTTTTACGCCGCACTCAGCAATATTCCAGCTATATGGCGGCGGTCTGTAAATAATAGAGTCTGGACCAGACAATCCAGTGATCAACAGCATGAGCATCAATATACGCAACTGGAATACGATGTCGATGACGTGTGTCAACCAAGTCAGCGAGCCTGACCACCCGATCACGTTAGTCGCCTCTTACGACAAGCATGGGTTACTGGGGCAAGTTCTAACCCGGATGAATGGCTCGTTGAATATCAGGTGTTTGCGAAAAGGGTGCTCATGTCCTGCTCTACCGGTCGCACCTACCAATAACAATTATTTCCTCAAAGACAGGAAGAGTTAGTTGTCTAACGCTTAACCTTGAGATGCTTCTGTCATACGATGGTGGTCTGTAAACAATGAACCCTGCCCCAGTGATCAGTATTATGAGCAATAACCCACGTCACCAAGCATGATCACTCGATCCATTAAGTTAAATTTCATCGAGTATGGGTGAAGGAAACCCATCGTCACATTTCGTAAACTACGACGAACTCGGGACAACCGGTTTGTTTCGTTATAACTCATGTTCGAGATATTTCGATTCAATATGTAGAGGTGATTTGGGCACTGCGTCACTATATCCGTTAGTTCGTAATAAACGAAGTTTACAGGATGCCATGTTGAATCGGTGGTCATAAACAACAGAGTGGAGTGGGGTAGCCTAGTGGTTAAAGCGTTCGCTCGTCACGCTGAAGGCCCGAGTTGGATTCCCGACAAGGCTACACTGTTTGAAGTCCATTTCTGGTATCCCCCGCCGTGATATTGCTGGAATATTGCTAAAAACGTAAAACTAAAGCTAAACTCACTCACTCAATCAGAGAGGGGTAACTGGTTATGCTGTTATAACCCTTGCCTATATGCTCTTTGTTGATTACAAAACTGGCATTTATATTGTGTTGAAACAACACATTTGTACAGCTTGATAACGCGGAAAAGTTCGACACATCAGGAATTCGTTATTCAGAGGTGTATTGTCAAGATAGTTGACTTCGGTATGCCCAACCTCTAACTAACCTAACCCTAACCCTTACCCTGACCTTAACCCTAACCCTAACTCTGACTCTAATCCTAACCTTGACCTTGACCCTGACAATGACCCTGACCCTAATCCAAACCCTGACCCTAACCGTTCCTTGATTGACGGATATTTACCTCTCTTCAACTCCTTGTATTTTCTGCAGAAGGTGACGGCCACGACGATGACGACAAGCAGCATGGCACCTGCACCAGCACCGACACCGGGCCAAAACGTCAACAGTTCTGTAAATAAAGATAGACGCCATGGTAGATTACCCATGTGTAACGCAGTGAAGGTTGTATGTATGTATGTATGTATGTGTGTGTGTGTGTGTGTGTGTGTGTGTGTGTGTGTGTGTGAGTGAGTGAGCGCGCGTGTGTATGTATGTGAGTGAGTGAGTGAGTTGAGTTTTGCACTCAGCAATATTCCATCTAAATGGCGGCGGTCTGTAAATAATCGAGTCTGGACCAGACAATCCAGTGATCAACAGCATGAGCATCGATCCGCGCAATTGGGTATCACATGAAGTACCTTCGTCATGACGTACCGATATCACGATGGGATAGTTAGATGTACTTTCCTCATATAACGTGCCTTATTTAGTCCTAATGTGTGAAGCCCATTCCTGGTGTCCCCCCGGTATTGCTTGAATATTGCTAAAAGTGGCGTAAAACCCAACTCACTCACTCCTCCTAATGTATCTTTATCACAAGCCATTCATCATACCATGTTATGCCTTCATCGTGACATGTTTGACGAACATTCATCATTATACTTCATCCACTAAGAATATTATAATTGACCTTCATCATCTAGCGTTCGGTATGACCAGGGTTCGATTCCCCACATGGGTATAATGTGTGAAGCCCATTCTTGTGTCACTTACCGCGATATTGGTGGAATATTGCTAAAAGCGGGGTAAAACCAGACCCACTCACTCAGTCATCTTGTGTCTTGAAATTGCATTAATATTGCTGACTGATGTAAAATGACATGCGCACTAACTGCTTCTGACGTCATATGAGCGTAGTTCACGTCATAACGAGACGCCAAGTTTTCTTGCTAAACACTGTATTTAGCAATATTACAGCTGTATGGCGGCGGTCTGTAAATAAATCAAGACTCTAACATCATAAGCACCGATCTACGCAGTTGGGATACGATGACGTGCATTAACTAGGTCAGCGAGCCAAGATCACGTTAGACACTTCTTCAACATACCTTCTCTAGTTCGCAGTGAAGTGACAGCCTCCAACCTCAACACCAAGGTCTAAAATTATAACATTATCAAAATTAGAACCCATTTACGTTGGATTGCATAATAATCATCTCTCTCTATGGGATCATTGAAAAAATGGAGAAAAAAGACATCTCTATAGGCAATTACTCAATATACACTCATGTAACACGAATAACGTAGGTCACCGACCTTCGCCTTGCAGATCGATGTAGACGAAGGTCCTATCCACGATGTTCTCGGCTGAGACACAGTACATGCCCAGGTCGTCGTCTGTCTCCACCTTCACCTCCAGCACAAAAGTCACACTGCCCATCGTTCTCTCCGGGGTGTCTGAAACAATCAATGGAAACTTAGTCAACAAAAATACAAACACCATATTTCCCAGAGGATCCTGCTAAACATGGCGTACTGTGTCTTCACGCCAATCTACACCAGGACCAGCGCTTGCCATGTAACTTGTCATACTGTGTCCCCACTCCAATCTACACTAGGACCAGCGCTTGTATTATAGGGGGTGGGGAGAAAAAGCCGCAATGCTACAGCCAATGTTAAAGGAATGGGGGAAAAGCCCGTGGTGCACTTTTGTCCACACAATAGTAGTCCAGGAAGACAAAAGTGGTCCACCCGTGGAAGTGCGCTCCAATTAGAGATATGCAGGTGCACAAGAATCACGAGAAGCCTTTGCCGAGATCCGATCGAGCCGTTTGTCCCTTTTATTCGGGAGGCGAAGAAAAAGTACCACATATCGCAAGCCAGATGTATGCGAATCCGGGGCAGCTCCAAAACAGACCCCAAGACACAAACAGAGACACACACATCGTCTCTTGCTTTCCGACAAAGAGAAACAAATCCTCGAGCGATCGGGACACACCTTCTACGAGCGATACCAGATCCCTAGACAGTTTCTCGAACTCTATTTGCTGTGCTTTCGCCAATTCGTAAAAGACGGATCTTGTCTACCTCTACCCACCAAACCAATTTCGACCAATTCCGAAACGTTCTCGCCTACTGCCCGGAAACAAAGGACAGACAAAACCAATGCTTCGACTGCCTCGCTGCTATATCGGAACTACCTACCCTATTTGAACCAGACAACTCTACTTGCAAGTACGGCACCACAGACCACTTCATTCGCAGCAAGAAATGCAGCGCTTGCCACGTAACGTGGCATACAGTGTTCCCACTCCAATTTACAACAAGACAAACGCTTGCCACGTTACTTGGCTTAGTGTGTCCTAACTAAATCTGCACCAGGACCAGCGCTTGTCACGCAACTTGGCGTAAAGTGTCCCCGCTCCAATCTACACCAGGACCAGCGCTTGTCACGTAACTTGGCGTAAAGTGTCCCCGCTCCAATCTACACCAGGACCAGCGCTTGTCACGTAACTTGGCGTAAAGTGTCCCCACTCCAATCTACACCAGGACCAGCGCTTGTCACGTAAGGACCAGCGCTTGGCGTGGCGTACTGTGTCCCCACTCAATCTACACCAGGACCAGCGCTTGTCACGTAACTTGGCGTAAAGTGTCCCCACTCCAATCTACACCAGGACCAGCGCTTGTCACGTAACTTGGCGTAAAGTGTCCCCACTCCAATCTACACCAGGACCAGCGCTTGTCGCGTAACTTGGCGTACTGTGTCCCCACTCCAATCTACACCAGGACCAGCGCTTGTCGCGTAACTTGGCGTACTGTGTCCCCACTCCAATCTACACCAGGACCAGCGCTTGTCACGTAACTTGGCGTAAAGTGTCCCCACTCCAATCTACACCAGGACCAGCGCTTGTCGCGTAACTTGGCGTAAAGTGTCCCCACTCCAATCTACACCAGGACCAGCGCTTGTCACGTAACTTGGCGTAAAGTGTCCCCACTCCAATCTACACCAGGACCAGCGCTTGTCGCGTAACTTGGCGTAAAGTGTCCCCGCTCCAATCTACACCAGGACCAGCGCTTGTCACGTAACTTGGCGTACTGTGTCCCCACTCCAATCTACACCAGGACCAGCGCTTGTCACGTAACTTGGCGTACTGTGTCCCCACTCCAATCTACACCAGGACCAGCGCTTGTCACGTAACTTGGCGTAACGTGTCCCCACTCCAATCTACACCAGGACCAGCGCTTGTCACGTAACTTGGCGTACTGTGTCCCCGCTCCAATCTACACCAGGACCAGCGCTTGTCACGTAACTTGGCGTACTGTGTCCCCACTCCAATCTACACCAGGACCAGCGCTTGTCACGTAACTTGGCGTACTGTGTCCCCACTCCAATCTACACCAGGACCAGCGCTTGTCACGTAACTTGGCGTAATGTGTCCCCACTCCAATCTACACCAGGACCAGCGCTTGTCACGTAACTTGGCGTACTGTGTCCCCACTCCAATCTACACCAGGATCAGCGCTTGTCACGTAACTTGGCGTAACGTGTCCCCACTCCAATCTACACCAGGACCAGCGCTTGTCACGTAACTTGGCGTACTGTGTCCCCACTCCAATCCCCTCTCAAACAGCACCAGCATTCGTGATTGTGCGCTCTCTCACGTCCAAACCAGAACCTAGATTTTCGAAGCTCTCTTAGCGCTAAGACAATCGTAAGTGCCATACATTAACATTAACTTACGACTATCTTACCGCTAAGGTGATCTCACGAGGTGATCTTAGCACCAAGGTTCAAGGCCAAAAGCTCCCAGTCCAACTCAATATTCCTTGCTCACAACTACCAACGGTCCCAGGATCAAAGCGACCTCCATGCTTACCTTGACGCACCGCTTCCACAGCGCCATCGTTCACGGGGGTCAGAGCACCCTCTTCAATCTTCCACCAGCTGACATCTGGCCATGGGTCGCCGGACAACGTCACCTCCAGTCTGGCTGTTTGACCTGTCATGGTCTTCAGTGTTGGCGTGAAGGCTGCATCAAGTTTCCTCTTCGGGCCGGCTATAAAAGAAAGAGACAAAGTATCAGCTCGTCCTCAGAATCCTTCAGTCACGGCTACTGAATCAAGCCACCTTCTCTTCTGTCATTGGAAACCCGTGAAGGTCCGGGTTAAAATGAACCCGAAATCCCTGCGCAATATATTGATCCACGAGACTGTATTAATCCTCACTTCCGGAACACATGAGACGTATTTCGCCCATTCATCAATAGCTTCACCGATTGAGTGTGAGTGAGTGAGTATGCTTTTACACCTCCTTTAGCAATCTCCCAGCAATATGACGGCAGGGGAAACAAGAGCCCATGTTGGGAATCGAACCTCGGATTTCGGCGTGACGAGCGGACGCTTTAACTACTAGGCCAAGGAAAGAGTGAGTGAGTTGAGCTTTACGCCGCACTCAGCAATATCTCAGCCATATGGCGGCGGACTGTAAATATTCGAGTCTGGACCAGACAATCCAGTGATCAACAGTATGAGCATCGATCTACACAAGTGGGATACGATGACATGTGTCAACCAAGTCAGCGAGCCTGACCACCCGATCCCGTTAGTCGCCTCTTACAACAAGCATGGGTTACTGAAGATCAAATAACCCGCATCTTCATGGGTCGATAAATCTAAGAAGCACTGATGACTGATGTATAGAAATCAAAAGAATAATGCCTGAGAAAAAAAGTTCTAATCAGTTCAGTGCCACACTCAACAGCTTTTGCTTTCCTGGTGTGTATTCGATAAAACATTCGACAGTCCGGGTGTGAACCCATTGGAGACCCGGCTCTTATTTCTTAAACCGCTGCTTTACCCTCGGCGTTTATAAGAAACCCCATGATTGCATCCTCGACGATTACATAATATCAATCAACCCATGCCATGTGGAGGACAGGAAGTTATGACGAAAGGGACCATTACTTAATAAATATATTTTTGGATCAAGGGAGAATACAGAGGCCCGGCGTTTATTAGAGATCTAGCGCTTATTACAGGAAATACGGCTTATATTCCTTTCAACATTATTTTAGACTGGAGTGACACCTTTCCCAAAGCTAGCGAAAATCTCCAGAATATGGTAAAAGCAGTTGTACACTGTGCCAGTTGATTATATAACCATAGCCATATTGAAAATTGTATTTTATACAGAAATGATGGCAATAGAATCGGCGGTGGCTGAGTGGGTTAGATCGCTGATTCTGACAGTCTTGGTTGTATTTCCGGATGGGACTAAACCTCATAAAAGTACTGGAACTTCTAGTTTACTAAAAATGTGTAATCCCAGATATAACATAAATTACAGAAAGTATTTATACGCTACCGAAATTATATATACATGAGTAAACATATACCGCACCATGCTACTCTTTGACATGGGGTAAGATGTTGCTTGTGGTGTAAGTTGAATCCAGTCAGCTCTTCCAATGCACGAGATCTCAAATACATATCTACAACTAAAGGAAACACGTCCATGTTATCGCTATGACCACATGCCAGCTTTACACTGATTGAGTCGACGATTCACGCATGTTGAACAAACATCCCTGATGAGATCTGTCACCGAAGCGTACAATCTCTGTATCGTTAGACGGAAAGTACCGCACTTCCTCTAATAAGCGCCGGATTTCGCATAAGAGCCGGGCCTCTAATAAGCACCGGGTACGTTTCTTATGGATGGATTCTCCCTTGATCCAAAAATAGATTTATTAAGGAATGGTCGTAGTCGTAACTTCCTGTTCTCCACATGGCATGGGTTGATGGACATTATGTAATAAGCGCCGGGTCTCCAATAAACGCCGGTCTCTAATAAGCGCCGGGTCTCCAATAAGGGCTGTGGTCATTAACAAGCGCCAGGTCTCCAATAAGCGCCGGTCTCTAATAAGCACCGGTCTCTAATAAGCGCCGGGTCTCAAATAAGCACCGAGTCTCTAATAAGTGCCGGGTCTCCAAGAAGGGCTCTGGTCTTTAACAAGCGCCGGGTCTCCAATAAGCACCGGGTCTCCAATAAGCGCCGGGTCTCCAATAAGCACCGGGTCTCCAATAAGCGCCGGGTCTCCAATAAGGGCCGGGTCTTTAATAAGCGCCGGGTTTCAAAGTCCGAAAGCGTTTATTAGAGGAAATACGGTACTCTTAGACTTAGTTATGAAAGTTGCCTCCGGTAAACTCTTTCAGTGCGGGAGTTCTCACTGTTAGCATAACGTAAAAATGCATAATCTATCACGAAAGGATATGCGTGCATTTTATTGCTATGGCCACATGTCAGTTTCACACATATGTCAATCACACACTTAGGACAAACATCCCTGATCATATCTGTCCCACGATCTCTGTGCCGTTGGATGGTAAATTCTCTCAGACTAAGTTCTGGAAGCATGTGATAGTCGTGCGCAATGTTACTGAGCCAGTGATATTGTGTTGTGAAGTTACAACCCCAGCTGGATATAAACAAATGCTTATATATGTGTATACTGTATCCATCTGTGTGAAATTGACATGTGGCAATAGCGATAACATGCACGCATTTTTTTCTTTAGTGATAGATTATGTACATGTATTTTTACGTTCAGCTTGCCGTGATTACTAAACTGACGGGCTAAAGAAAAGTTACCACTTTGAAATTGAAATTACCCAAAATTCCAAATTTAACTACAATCACCATCACATGAAAACACCTCGCCCAAACGCAATAATGAGTTTTTCACTTGGAAATAAGGCATGCAATAAATGCTTTTCACCATTTTGTCCAAATATGGTTTCATGTTTTTCACGTAGTGCGAAAACATTAAAACCCAATGGGTATAAAACCAATGCAAAAGGACGGGTTGTCAGATATTCGTTCTGTTGAAAAAAACACCAAAAGAATGACTCGATTAACTTTGTTACAACGAGAACGGGCGATCGGAATGATCGAAGTGGGAGCCTCTCACACCCACGTTGCAAGAACGCTTGGCTGTCATCGCGTCACCATCACCAGACTCATGCAGCGATATATATATCGACAGACAGGACTGACCTCAGACAAGCCACTATCAGACAGACCTCCAGTCAAAACGCCCCAGGAGGACCAGTATCTGCGCACGCTGCATCTCAGAAACCCCTTCCTGATGGCTCATCGTGTAAGCCATTACACAGTAGCCAGACGACTGAGGTCCTATGGAATCCGGGCTTACCAACCTTTCCGGGGATAGCAGTTGGCAGGCGAACATCGTCGCCGGAGACTTAGATGGGCTCGGACGGTTCGACGTTGGCAGTGACGTGAGTGGCAGAGGGTGCTATTTTCGGATGAAAGCCGCTTCTCTCTGTTCAGAGCTGACGGTAGCGTGTGTGTACGGTTATGGCCCGGGAAAGCAAAATCTGGACCAAACATCCTCAATTTAGGTGTCGCTTTCGCGGGAACAGTCAAGTTACAGTGAACACTGAATTTAGCGTTCCCGGTACTCACAAAAAAACCCAAAGAGTAGTAGGGGGAATGGGGGTATGAGACCAAGTGCAACGAAAGCCTCTGCAAAGCCTTATTTCACAAATAAGGCTTTTGTCAGGCCCTTAGATCTCGCCCCGTTACCCCTACTATAAAAAAGTTTGAGACGCCAGCGGGATACTAACTCCACATGCATACCTCACAGCCGCACCACTCAACCGACTGAGCTACCGGGGACTTAGCTGAAGTATCTCGGTTTAACGGGTCTATCCTGAGATAGCGAACTAGCACTTTCCTGATCATGTGACATGTCGTGTTGACAGGATACTATATTGGGATTACTTGGTAAGTGTTAAATATTTTGCTTGGGGGGTAACATTGTGCCGTACGGTATGACTAATAATTCCTGTCTAACAAACCCTCTCCCTGGCCCATCTCTCAAGTAGTACAAGTTCGGCTCGTCGGCTTTCTGTCCACTTTATCTATGTTGTAAGTTTTGACTGACCATATAGGATCGGTGGCTCGCTTACGGCTATCACCCTCGTGTTCCCCCGGCTGGTATAGATACCTCACTAGGGCCCTATCTGGTATCTGTTTCTCTTTCCCACGCGATGGTGCAGCCGACTCTGCCACTATTGATTTTAGTTTGATAGCGTCTGCTGGTTTCTTGCCGGTGAGACGGGTGATTTCGTGGTTTATGGCCGACACCACCTGAGGTAACTGCGCTACCCATTCAGTCGATCGTTTCCCCCGGGTTGGCCATCTCTCTCGCATACTGATGGCCGAATAAGCGCTCAGCCAAAGTCCTATTGAATCTCTCAACTATGGCTTGGCTGCGATGGGCTCCGGCCGTGCCACGCCTGACCTTGGTGTCATGTTTATCCAGCAGGTGTGACACGACACCCATGAACTCCCGCCCGGGGTCGACTTGCAGCTCTGTTGGCCACGTCAGCGGACTACGCTTATATATGCGCTCCATGGCTTGAGCCACCTGGTTCGAATCTTGCGCGGTTAAGGGCTCCGCTTCCTTATACCGGCTGGCCACATCCACGATAGTCAGGGCATACTTGTAGGTTTTGCGCCTCACCCTGTCGTGGGGTAGGAACAGGAGGTCTGCCTGGTGAACGCTATTGGGTATGTTAATACCAAACTTCCTTCTAGGCACGTAGCGTGGTGCCCGGTAAATAGATCTGCCACAGGGCTTGTTTTTCAAGCCACGCTTTGGCCTCCTCCTGGGGTACTCGCGCCATTTTAGCCAGCTTATGTACAGCGCTAGCTCCTTTCCAGTACCCACGTGGGCTGTAGTAAATAGCCTCAAACTTTCTCTGGTTCCGTGACATGTCACCTATATACACTTATGTTCTTGGTTCAATTTTCTCATGCCCGTACGCGTACGTGTTTATCCCATCAATAGCTATCCAACGCTTAGTGTCCATCGGAGACAGGGACGTCTTGTTTATAGTCAGTCCATATATCCTATGCCCATCACTTCTAAGCGTGTTCTAAGAGGCCTAGACGAAGCCTTGAAACATGTACGCGGAGAACTCGTTAACAACATGGGGAAACTGAACAAAGTCGACGAGCACATCGCTCGCG